ACCAGGCTCGGGATAGGGCCATGTGGCGAGTGGTTAGGGTACGGGGCTGAGAAGTGAGAACACTTACAGCAGAACTGGTCAAATGCAGTTGTCATTGGGACGTTATGATCTACGTAGGGGTCTTATGTCCGGTTATGGTACATTATTTAGAGCTGTTATTTGCTTTAAAAAAATCATTTATATCTGTCACAGACGGGTTTGATGTGTAAGTGGAGTTGTTGCATCTAAACATGTGTCATTAAATGTTACTGCACAGATGGAATAAGATAGATATTGTAATCACCGCTGTAAATTAGAGTACAACGGGCAGCTTATGATCTGACAAACGATATTCAACTCCCGTCTATGCACATTGCACACCGTGCAATTAATGAATCAATCTAAATCAAGTCACGAAGATGCATAGCGAGTGCATTCCGTACGTGAAAATATAAATAATCAACGTAGCTGGCGACGAGCGTAAAGTTAAGTGAATGCAGCTTCAGCGTGTCGTTAACACGTCCCGTAATGCCTTCACGTCTCATTATCTCCACTAATAAACTCTCATTCTCCATCAACAGACGGCATTGAGGAGAAGAAACGGAAGATGGCCCGTAACTCGGACCGCCTGCACCGGTTCCTGGCCGAAAACCTCGGAGAGGGAGAGGGTGAGTTATAGAAGCCGGACCACGGCGGCCGGGCGAGGCTGGCCTTTCCCGGCGTACCTCAACTCAGCGTGACGAGGCGCCGGGCCGAGCATTGACGCTCGGCTGGCCAGGTGGGCTGAGGGAGGGTCGGGGAGGGAGCCCTGTTGCTGGGCCGGTTAGCGGAGCGGTGACGGCCCGGTAGCGGGCGGAGATGGGCAGACGATCTCAGGGTGTCATCCCGGATCCACGCCGGCCGGCCGCGCGGCGGCGCGGTAGCTGCCCTCCTCCCACGCGGCCGTGTCCCTGTGTCCGGCCGGTCCGGAGCGGCGGCACGGGCTTCCCGGCCGGCCTGTGTCCGCCTCTGTCGGCCGCCGACACCCAAACCGGTCGGCGGCGCGCGGGCCGGCCCGGCCGACGACCGGCGCGCCGCCGCCGGCGCGGCCTTCCCCAGCCGGCCGGCCGGCCTTGGCCGAGGATGTCCGGCCGGCTGGAGCGCTCCGGCTGGTGACAGCGGTCCCCGCGCCACGCTGCCATCCTCCGATCACTTCCGGCGGTGACCGGTGCGCCGCGTGAGCTGCGGGGGAGGGACTGCGGCGGCGGCGCTGAGCTGGCAGGTAGCGGCCGACAGTGGCCGCCATGGGGACCGCGCACCGGTCCGCCGCCGCCGCCGCCGGCCGCTGGGGAATTCCAAAGTGGCCGGTGGCCGCGCGGGGCGGGAATTACTCCAGGATGTGGCCGAGCGCGGCTGTTTACGCGGACCGGAATGTTGCTGCATGATCGATGATGCAAACCGGGCGCGGCGCCGGCAAAAATGGCCACCGACGGCCAAATTAGGTCCAGCCCGGTGGCGCCGGGGATTAAGGCCGAAAATTCGGGCTTCCGTGGAAAGCATGGGTGCAGGGGTTTTGTGAAAACCCAGCGCGTCTGCCTGAGACCGGTGCGGTGGGTGATTTCGGCTGAATTTTCTGTTGTCTGTTGGCAGGTCAGCAGTCGTTTGATGCCGTCGGCGCCCGGCCGAAAATGAAGGCGACATCTCGGCACCGTCTGAAGACCATCAAACCGGAGCCAGTCGGTAAGAACTAGACTACGATAGAGCATGCAGGCTCTATCCCGGAAACATTTTCGGCCTTTTGGATGGTTAAGTTTAGGCGGTAGTCTTTTCCATGAATGTCTCGTCATAATTTTGTGTTTTGGTTGTACTCTTTAAGGTTACGTTGACAAGAATTTGGGTTCCACCGTTCCGTGCTTCTATCCTCAGGATACTGAAATCCTACTCCTCCACGCCACAACCCGGCTCCGGGCTGGACAGGCAACTTAATCTCATGCGGGCTGCTCCCTTGGAGCGGCACCGCTGCTCCCGAGGGAGCGCACCCCGTAGCCGGGTGCAGTGAGTGCCTTGGGGCTGGGTGGCCTGTCATCTGGACGGGCTCAGCCCCGGCGACTCACTAGGGTGCCTGCCCAGACCAATGTCTCCCCCTATATCCTATCATCCTCCCGGCTCTGAAATGGTCTCATTGGACCGAAAGGGCCTAACCCAACAAAATAAAAAAATGACAAGAATTTGGCGTTTTGTAATTATTACCAAACGAGCGGAATTATCTTACGCGATTTTTAAATTCGTTTTAAATTGACAGATAACATCACGAAAAGAAGTGTACGCGTCCTAGTTTTATTGCTGCTTTTGTCATCATTACAGCACAATGCTCCCCATAACGCGTCCAAGCAAAACTTTTCCTCGATTGCTCCGATCAACTCCCGAAGCTCCACAGATATTTTAACCACGCTTTCTCTCTCTCTCCCTGCAGACCCGGTGCCGGAGCCGATGTACCCGGGCGGTGACGTGCCCGCCCAGGGGATCGTCTCACCCACCAGTATGTCCGGCGGCGGCATCGTGCGCCAGCCGACCCCCTACGAGCTGCAGCAGCGCGCCGCCTACGCCGCCCGGCTGGCCGCGCCCACCGCCGCCGCCGCCGACCTGGTCAAACAGGAGTACCCGGCCATGTACGCTCCGGGCAGCGTGCACCGGGCGGCGCGGTCCCCGCAGCAGCCGGGCGCCGCGCCGGCCTCCCCGCTGGGCGCCGCGGCCGCACCGCCCACCAGCGCGCACCAGCTGCTCGACCTGGACACGCAGCGGCCGGTGAGCTCCTCCATCATCGAGCTCGACCTGAGCCAGCTCAACTCTGCCGACCTCAACATGCTGAGCTTCCCCTCTGAGTCAGAGGCCAACCAGCAGGCGATCGAGGGCCACCTCTCCAGCAACCTGTCTCAGAGTCTCAACTTCTTGGACATGCCGCCGCCGCCGCAGGCGCTGCCGGCCGAGGAGCGGCCGGACGCGCAGATGGACAGTTTTACCAGAAATACCATCAGTGAGCTGGAGTTCCTCAACCAGCTGAGCAAGAAGTGAGCTAGGGGCGCGGCGCGCGGCGCAGCGTGATCTCGCAGTGGGGAGAGGGACGGTGAGGGAGAGAGTGAGAGAGCGCGACGGACGGGAAGAGGACCTGTGTCGACATCCTGGGGACTTAGTCGTGGGGGAGTGCTAACGTGTGCTCGTGTGAGTCTGCCGAGGGCTCGATGTCAATAGGCTGTATTATTGGACTGGCGCGGTATGCATGATTGCGGGCTTTATAAATATGCGACCTGTTTGAAGAGCTTTACATGTGCATGTCGGCTGCGGCAGCAGCAGAGTCGCCGGCGCGATGCATATTTGGCTGTGCTGCGGGCAAGGTCACTGTTACGACTCTAGCAGCGGGGCGGACTGCGGAGCGTCGGCAAGGCTTGTGAACGACGCGCCGAGAAGTATAGGCACGGCGGTGTGACCGTCTGTAATGTGGGGGATGTTGACAACGGCATAGCCGTTTCAGTGTAGAGATTATCATCGCACGGGACTAGACAGCACAAACCATCGCGAAATGCCTGCCATATGCGGAGATATGCAAAGCTGTAATTTATGGGGTTGTGCCGGAGCCGTCTCTCTAGATCTCCTGATCAGAGGACAGCCCGGGCTGGGGTAGGAGCGCGGTGCATGATGGGTGGAACCTGTAAGGCTTGTGACAAGGCGGGTAGAACACCGCGGCGGGACGGCGCCGCCCAGCCAAGTGTTCCCATAGGTAGTCTGTTATCGAACGTCGCGACTCGCTGGTGCAGAGTTCCGTTTCGTGAGGTCTGGATGTGACCGGTGTGGGTTTGCCCGCCCTCCGTCTTCGTTTGTCTTGGTGTCGACATTCTGTCACCAAATGTCACGCCGTGTCACCGAAATGTCGGCGTGTAAAAACCGGCGGTCGGCCGGTGTCAGCTGCTTTGACGAGGCTTTCGTGATGTCCCTTGCGCCATTCAGCGTTTCGATACGACCTTTGCGGAGTGCTGCGGATGTGATCCGTGCTAGGTAGGTGGCGCTGTATTTTTATAGTTCTTGCTGTCAATACTAGCGGTGTTACGACCCGGTTCAAATCATGTTCAAATTAGCCGGCTCCTGGCTGCGGGCATGGAGTTTATATCAGCGTTGAACGTTTTCTGAATTTTATACGCACTGTTCCCCACACGCCATTTGGTGTCTGAAGTGGCGGCGGCTCTGGCTGCGGGTCCACACGGCACACCGCAGTTTGGCGCTGCAGGCGGCGCGATCGGTGTGAAGTGCGCTTTAGGTGTTTCCCGCTTGGCCGCTGTGCTCGGCACCGATCATCACCCATTTCACCGGCGTTCTGCGGCTAGGAATGCGCGCTGTGTGAGATTGTTACGCCCGCGGCGAGTGAAAACGAATACATGTTTCGCTGTCCACCTCATCGTTTGTTATGTTATGTGGCTCGTCGATGTTGGGAGGACGGGGGAGGCCGACTGGGACGCAGGGACGGGGCGGACAGCGCGGGACCGCGGGGGTATGGTTACACCCCTTCTGCTCGCGGCTAAAATGCTAAAGCGGAACGTCCAAAAGCTTTTGCATTGGCCTTGACCAGGCCAGGCTCAGGGGAGGACCTCGAGGGTCACGGGGTCATGCCCCGCCCCCTGCCCTGAGGGTATGAGCCATAGGCTATTTTTGCTGTTTTATCGGAGAATGGCGCCATGGCGGGCTGCACAGGCGCTGAGAGTGTAACCCATGTGGCACTGATTCGGTCATCGCCCATCCCATCAGCGACAGGGGTGAAGACGGGAGGTCGAAGCCCTCGGTGCCGCCCCTTCATTCCGCGGAAATGAGGAGTTGGTGGGATTTAAAATTGGCGTCGAGCTCCAATTCTGCACCAAGTTTTCATATTCTACTAGACATTCTCCATTTGATTCTTAACTGAAAATTAAGTTTGAACCGACCTGCAAATGAAACATACAATTTGATTTTTTCCCACGGGTTCAGATTTCACATTCCCATATTCTCCCGTTACACACGCGCGATGCGGTTCCCCACTCACGTCTCTGTTTACGCACGCTCCCGGCGGGCAATTATCAGCTCTCGACCAATCAGAACCGCCGGTTCAAAACGACGCCGCTCAGTGACCGCCATTGGGACGCCAAATTTGTCTATTTTGTGCCGGAGTGTTGCTGGGGTTGTGTTTGTTTGCGAGGGCTTTTTAAAGGTATTTGATCTGGGATTTAAATGCTAAATAAACTGTTTTATAATGTAAATGATTTCAAGCTCAATTTAGGTGTCGGGTACATAACGAATTTGAAAAATGGGGAACTGTAGCAGAGCTCACAGTTACGACATTTTTAGATATCGACCAAAGTTGTAAATCAAAATAGCTTTATTTATATTATTTAATTCCTACATACAGCGATAATTAATAGGTGTGAGAACGGAGAACGAAGATAGCTGTGAGACACTGCTCATCCTTTGCATTTTTGTGACATTTTCATGTGAAATTTTGCTTGTTTTGAATTACAAAATGAGACTGTCGTACCTTTAGACCAGTTCCACTGATGCTATATTGATTTCAACCTAAGAATTCAAATTGGCATGTTAATAGTTTATTGCATACTGTGCATGCATCATGGCTGAGAGCTTTTAAAATGTTTTGTAGTGTCTGAACGCCCTTTGATTCTCGTCTGTGAAGAAATCAAATTGCAACCCTGCCATGCAAAGGCTAAAATGATCACCTACGTCAGATCATAGGTTATTACCTAAGGCCAGAGGTCAGGTCATCCAAATGTAATCAGGTTTGTCTTTGCATGGTAGATTTGCCAATTGGTGAGGTGGATCTGCAGTTCAGTCTCAGTCTGGAGTTTGTTTCAGTTGGACACTGCTCCCCAGCAAAGTTGAGCCAGGGACCAGGGTGCTAAAAAAAATGTGAGATGGCCAATTAAATGCATTTCCCACTTCAAGCTCCCCCCTCTGTTATGGTCATAAGACGTGATCTAGCAGCTTATTAACATTATTTTCTTCCCTTGTAATATTCAAGCACTTAACTTTCAATTAGATAGGGTAGGTACCTACATAATGGATTGTGCCAGTTCCTGACTCCCTCTCTAATCCTCATGCCTGATAGTTCCTTGGTCCTTGGACCTCTGCAATTCCAAATGGAATGTGGTTGGGAATTATTTTTAAAAGACTTCCATTCCAACATTTATAACATCATTTTATCCAAAGTCGTGATTTGCCTATTTCAAACTGATCATCTTTTTCAGATGCCAAGGTCTCGAACTCCATCAAGAAGCAGGCAAGCGCGGGTAAGTGCCAATATTGTGTATTGTTATGAAGATAAAACAACTTGCATTGACCTTATGCATCTTAACATTACCAATAGTAAGTGCCTTTTTACCTTGTGTTATATAACTTGCCAACACATACCCCTAAATCCCACGCCCCTCTCACTGCCACCGTCACTGTCCCCAGGGCTCTCGGTCGCGGAGTCGCGGCCGGAAGTCGCCGGCGCGCGCCAGTCGGTCGCCGGGTCGTGTCGGAGGGGCCAGCCGGTCGCCGGCGCGCGTCAGCAAGTCGCCGGCGCGTGCCAGCGCGCCGGCCAGCCGCTCCAGCCAGTCGCCACCGACCAGACAGCGCGTCACGCGCTCCCGGTCCCCGGCGCGCGTGGCCGCGGCGGCGCAGAAAGGTGAGTCAGAATATGCCTGGCTGGTTGGGCAGTCATAGTTGGGAAACTGTTAGATACTATGGATTGTGTTGACATGCTTTCTGTGACATATCATATGACCACCACACTCATGGCCACTCATCGTCCTGTGTTTTGAGTTTATTGCCCATCTCCGGTATATTTATCGCTAACCCTGCTGCCACTTTTGCTTTGCAGCGGTGCCGAACTCCGTAACACCCCCGCCGGCTGAGAGCGCCGCTCCGTCGGCCGAGCTGCTCACATCCACCCCGAAGTCTGAGGTGCGCGCCCGGCGGCCGCTGACCCGCACCGCACCGGTACCCGTCGAGGTCGCCAGTCCCCCTCCAGTCAACAACGCCAACAGCAACTCGAAGCCGGCGCCGGAGGAGGAGGAGAAGGAGAAGGCGCCCGAGCCGTCTCCGTCGGGTGTGACCACCCGCCACTCGGCCCGCATCGCCAACAAGCTCAGAGAGGTGAGGCTGGTGGGCTGAGAGAGAAGGGGCGTAGAGAGAAGAGGAAGGCCACTACATATGCAAAGTGAGATAACGCCAGTAACGACAGTATTCATTTTCACTGAAGGATTTACTGTATTGCTTGTAAACTGAATCCTGATCAGCAACTGCTTCATCTTTGCCTACCCTGGCCTGGTTTGATTGTCTATTGTCTAATATGAAAATCATCTGTGGTCATCTGAAATCTGACCTGTCCCTCACGATGTTCCTCAGCTGGGCATTGACCCGGCCGCCGGCGGGGACACTGCCCGCGAGCCGTCCCCCGCCGCTGCCGAGGAGGATCTGAAGCCCAAACGGGACACGCACGTGGGCTGGGGCCGCGCGCTGCTCACTCCCATGGTGCTGGGCATCGCGCTGCTGCCGCTCTACGTCTACTCAGCCTGTAACAAGGTGAGGAGAGATAAGTGTGGGGTGATTTGTGGCATAGTGGCCGAGAAATGCGCCTTAGAGATGGTCTAAGGTCATGCACATAATTATGGGTTAGGAATAACTAATGATGTCGATTTTCATTGGAAGAATAAGTTTGTTTTGTAATTGGTCTTTTCGTATGAGAAAATGCAACGAACGGTGGCGGATGTGGGTACTCGGATCGTTTTTGAATGAAGGGCTTATGAAGTGCCATCGTTGTTGACCGCGAACGTGTTGGCCTATCTTATCGGAGTCTCATCTTCAAGTGTAACCGTCTCCGTTGCTATCCCGCCTACCGAACTGCTACTGTCCATCCCCTTTGTTGTGTACTCGTACCTTGCCCCTCGTCTGCTCGTCCCCGCCCCTCTCCCCGTCTGTCTGTCTGATCACGCTCGTCCCGTCTGACCGCTGGGCGCTGATCCTCTTTCTAACCGCTCGCCCGTCTGATATCCCGACAGAAGCACTGTTCGATCCGCCGCGTGCCAGAGGTGCCGACCGCGCTGAAGGCCTGGTTCGACCCGGTGGCGTTCGCGTGCGTTCTCGGCTTCCTGGCCGTGCAAGTGGCGATTTCTCTGCTGCCCGTGGGCCGCGAGGTGGAGGGCCAGATCTCCAAACAGGGCATCCGACGCTACCGCTGCAACGGTGAGCTAAACGAACGTGTGGAAGGACTGGTATGGGCGGTGGCGGGGGAATCGAGCGTAGTGTACGGCTGAGGGATTTTATTAGGGTTCCGCTAGATTTTTTCGCAACAAGGCGTGGAAAAATAGTAGTTATGGATTGTGACGTGACTTAAGTGAGTGGTGTGTTTCGTAGCCGTATTGTGGTTTATAGATCGTCTGGTGATACGATAGTCTTAGTGATGAATACGACAAGTGCAAGTATTATAGTGATTGCATGTCTAACTAAACCAAATGCTAACCCAATGGTGCTTACATTGTTGACTCTCATATCAACGGGCCACTGTCTTCTGTTCAGATGCTTCACTATTTGGTCTGCACTTGAGCCCTTATCTTTGCTTGTAACCGTTAGCATTCGGCACCATCCTTGATATTCTGACTCGGTAGTTTGCTCGGCTGTTCAGTGTTCAGTCAATGCGAGATGCCAATATGCCGAAGGCTCCGATTCGGCGTTTCTTTTACTCAAAGTTTATATACTTTTCTATTTTTGTGCTTTCATATTTTACCCGTTCCCACGGCCCGCCTCTATGTAACTCGGTCTCTCATTCTCCGCCAGGTTTCCTGTCGCTCGTTCTGACTGTCGGCGGCGTCGTGCTGGCCTACTACCTGGACGCGCCGGTGATGATCGCTCTCCTCAAACTGCGCCTGCTGATGGTGGCCAGCGCGGTGACCGCCCTGCTGCTGGCTCCGCTGCTCCACTGGCGCGCCCGCTCGGCTCACCTGCTCGACCTGAACTCCGCCGGTGACACTGACTCCCTCCTGGTGAACGTGTCTGAGGGCCGCGAGCTGGCGCCGCGCCTGCTGGGGCTGGACGTGAAGCTGCTGATGACGCGCGCCTGCTGCGTGGCCGCCGTGCTGCTGTCCGTGCTGTTCGTGCTGGCTGAGCGCGGCCTGAAGGGAGAGAGCTCCCCCACCCTGGTGACGGCGGCAGTGATGGTAGCCGCCATCGGAGTCGATCACATGTGGTTTGAGGATACCTTGCTGACCACCTACACGTTCATGAATGAAGGATTTGGACTGAAGAAGCTGCTGGGAGCCATGGTGATGCCGTTCTCCATGACGTTCAACCTGCGCTTCATCATGGTCACAGGGTGAGTTAAGAAACGCGTGTTGGACTTTCGCGGCATGGTTTGTGTCTTTTCATTGATTTCATGCTCTTTCTCAGCTTGAGTTACATTTGGGAATGTCTTCAAACGTTTAAACACCGGTTATTGAACGAATTTAGATTGCTCGAACAATAATATTCCGTATTATATAGCCGTGATTCGCATCGCTTCCTATGTCTGTACCGTATCTGTCTGCATTTGCACGCTTAGTCCCCCTATGACTTGCTTTTCCTCCCCCTTTCAGCGTGTCCCACCCCTGGTACGCCCTGGTGGGCTGTGTGATGATCTACCTGGTGGGCTACCTGATCCAGCGCTCAGCCAACTCTCAGAAGAACGAGTTCCGCAAGAACCCGGTCAACCCGGCCCTGGCGCGTGAGTAGACGGGGTTGCGGGGGACGCGGGGTAGATGTGTGTTTATTGGGATAGGGAGCTGACTAACCGCCGGTTGGTTTGTACAGTTTATATAGGTCGTCTGTATCGCTATGGCGACAGTGAACTGTGTCACGATGAAGCTGTTATCTGAGTCGTTTTTCTGACCGTTATAATGAGTAGCTACATATGTAACTTCACTGATATATTTTTATAGCTAAGTTCTTGGCCATGCAGTTTTGCGCACTCAGCACTGATGCGACCTGCTTAGAAAAGGTTCTTTGTCAGTGACGCCAATTGTTGACATGATTTACATTTTCTGACTTGTTTGTACGTTTCAGATCTGGAGACTATTCCGACGACGAAGGGGAAGAAGCTGCTGGTGTCGGGCTGGTGGGGTGTGGTGCGCCACCCCAACCACCTCGGCGGACTTCTCATGATCGTCGCCATGTCGCTGCTCCTCGGTGGGTTCCCGACGCGAGACGAGATCGCATATCAGATAGAAAATGGGAGAGCCTCTGCCGTTTTATCATAAATTGAGGTTGATCTCATGTTCTCGTCGCAGAGTGTCTCACTCAATCAAAATGAAGAGCAGGAAAGAGGTGTCAATCGTATTCAGCGCGAAATTATTGTTCCCTCTGACCACTGCATCTGGCACCACACTGACGGTCTCTCCTCTCGTTCTGCAGGGTTCCACCACGCGCTGGGCTGGGTGCTGCCCGCCTGTGCCGCCCTCGGCGTGGTCATGCAGGCGCGCAAGGTGGACGCCTTCTGTCAGCAAAAGTACGGCGCTGCCTGGGAGCGGTACGCGGCACGTGTCCGCTACCGTCTCATCCCCTCTGTGTTCTGAGCGCCACACGGGGCGCCACGTGGGCCGAGCGGGCACGTCCGCCCGGCCAGACACGTGGGAGGCGGAGAAGACGCACATGAGGATCTTGCCAGCTCAACTTCATCGCGTTGGAGAGTTTAGTGACACCGGTACAATTACAGCGACTCAGCTGCACATTTGTGCAGGGACTGGTTGCTGGTAGTTGCCGAGCGGAGTGGACGTGTTCCTCCCTGTAGAGGCGGTGGACGGCGCTACGGCGCGCGCGTCGGCCTGATGGCAGGGCGCTGGGATCTGCCGAGTGTTTTGTGGGAGGGTAGAGGGCGCCTGGAGTCGTGGTGCCACTGCCGCAGGTTTTTGGGGTGGGGGCTGAGGATATACCAAATTGAATGACGGTCCCTATTGGGGCTGTCCTCTGGTGTTTGCATGGCCAGAGAAAGCCACGGAGTTATAAAGCCCCATCCTGCTCTGGTGATCATATTTTTGGCGGGCCTTTTTGGCTGCTACACATTACCTCAACATTCACATACAATTCAGTCATGTTTTCCACCAGCCAGTGATCGATCCATAATTGAAATTCGCCCAGTATTGACACCCCGTCCGCGTAGCGCGGGCGGGAGGGACACTAGTTAGACGACCGTTAGAGTGTGTGTTGTGTGGTTCATCCATCCCCTGTACATACTCATCGGCGTGCGAGTGTGAGTGTGAATAGCTGGCCCCGGTGCCAGGCTAGGGCAGTGAGACCATCGTCACCGGGAATGGTAGGCCTTAGGATCTCACCGGGGGAGTCCGAGATTGCCGGGTGGGTGCGACTCGTCAGGGCCGGCCCGTTTATTTTAGTTCGTAGTTGTGTTGCGTCGGCTGCCGTCGCGGTTTCGGTTTAAGTGTTGGCATGCAGGCTCGAATCGGTTTTCATGCACTTGCGGTGGCTCGCTCTCTCGCTCACTCTTGTTTCATAATTTTTAATGGTTTTCTGTATGGTTGGTAATTGGTAAAGTTCTCTGAAGCGAATTTGAGGTCCTGGCTTTTCAGAACAACTGCGTTTTATGCGGGCTCTTTGCCGGCCTTCGAACAAACGTATCACCCGTTCATGGCTGCTTGCGTTTCTGAGTCGTTTTACCCTGATTCAATCCGGTGGCGGGCCGGTCATGGATGCAGGTTTCGCAGCTGTCGTGTCATTTTGGAAACGGTTTGTCGACAATAAACGTATGGTTCGCGTCCGAGATATGTGTGTTTGATCTGAGAGTGGAGTTCTGCTGATGGATTGTAGAAGTTTTGATGGTACTCATCTTTGTGAGCGACGAAGTAATATGAATCCGGTCAAGTGATGACTTACGGAAGGCGAAAATTATCAGTGCTGTGGCTGAACCCGTGTTTCAAAAAACCTATTTCAAACAAGATTACGTTTCAAATGAGCGCCGAGTAAAAACAAAAAACTAAAGTTTTTCTCATATGGCAGGAGTTGGAAGCATAATCGCCTCGGCATGCATGACGCAGAGTAGCCATTCAGTAGCGCAAAAGCTGTTCTGCATATAAGCTCTTCGAACGCTCTTCAGCTGCTTTCCTATGTAGGTTGCCTAGCAATTTGCTGTTATATAGGCAGGTTGCTAGGCGATATGACCTGTCGGTGAAGAAGTTTTATTTGTGAACAATATTTCTAAGAAGGGTTATGTCATGTGGATCATATTGTAGCTAAACTTCCTAAACAAATTGGAGTTTAGTGTGTCTTTGATTTATTACCTTTAAAGTGTCAGGATCATGACTATCTATAGTATTTATATATTATCAAAATCTGGTGGACTCATATTCAATACTGATCAAAATATGCCAAAAATAGAGCTTGAGAAGACCTTCAGCTACCCTATACCCTACAAGCTGGTATACGAAAACAATCGTGTTGTTGTGTCATTTGGTCAGAGGGATGGCATAAAAGGTTAGTATTTTCAAATCTGACCAGGAAAATGTATTGTAATAAATCAAATTTGAATGTTTCTTTCATCTGGATCTGTAGGACTGGGCTAATTCAGTTGGGGAAACTACGAGGCGCACGTCAAAAAATGGATTGGTCAATAAATGGACTTTTGATGACCATATATGGGCATAAATGCAGCCCCCACTACTAAGGGTGAAAAACGGTATAACAAGCTGGTACTTGCGGTATCGCGTCCACTTATTGGAGAGAAAAGGCTTCCATTTTTCACTAGGAATTGGTGTGATTTGATTAAATTCGGCGAATTGACTCGAAAATGGCGATAGGAAAACTGCTTTTCTGCAGGTTCTGGGCGTCGCAATCAGCTGGCCATTCAATAAATGGATTGGTTTTATGAAAGAAAATTGTTAAAAGATTTAATTTAATTACAATAAACAAAAATATTTAATTCTAAAATAATAACTTAACTACAATTAGAAAAACCATAAACAAAATAAGAAAAATAATGACATTTTTAAACCACGGTACTGCTTACATTTTTTGGCGCGTCTGTTTCAATCCGCCATATTTGCCAATCACGGTTTGACCTTGCGTTGTAACTCTGCGATTTAGAGCCGCCAGTTAATTATGCACCGGGTGAGTGTAGGCCTTGTGTGGTTAAAAAACATCCTTACGCCTTATTTTTTCATTTGAATGCTAAAATTCATTGAAAAGATGAAGTTGTCTGATTTTATGACCATATATGGTCATCGCCCCGCCCACTCCAGCCGCTGATTGGCTAATCCAATTTTTGTTTGGCTCCTCGTAGTTTCCCCAACTGAATTATTCGGCCCCCCGCCCTGGCAAATGGGGTCATGATGCCCTGATATTAATATGGTATGCCAGAGGAACAATTTAAATTTTTCAATACATATCAGTGCATTTTCCAATGGGAACAGATTTGATGATGAACTTGATTATTAAAAAAATGTGTGTTTGTGCATGGATATCTTTCATTTATGTTCTATAATGCTTCCAAAAATTACCATTGCCACACCATTTTTGTAACACATTAGGTAACTAACAGGATACAGAGGGCTGTTCACGGGTCCTGTGTGCGGTCGGACCGCTCACAGCCTCCAAGCTCCGCCCACTGCGTGCCTACGTCAGCCTTCTGTCACTGCACACAGCGATCGCTGTGGCCGGTCGTGACTGGCACGCAGCCGTGACATCAGAACCGCATACCCATCCCCTACCCCCACGCCTGCTGGACGCACCGCACGCACCCCACGCAGCAGTGTGCGGTGCCGTGAACACCCCTCGGGGCACTGGTTCTAACACTTCACCATTTTTTTTCAGTTGGCCACGCTCTCCTGGCAATAAATGGGATACCTGTGACAGGAAAGCAGCTGGATGATGGAAGAGATGCGTTTACAGTGAGTACCCATTTATTTATATTTCTTGTTATGTAATTGAGTAGGTAATATTTCAATCAGAAGACTTAATCAGAAGCTTTCTCTATTAGGAGCATGCACTTGATGTTATATAAGCTCTCAATTTGATTTATCCACTTCTAGACTCCATTACTCATTGCATCTTATTTCATATAGATTACAGATGGTTTAACCCGCGCCCTGATGGGGGGGGGGCATTTTGGCCCCCCCTGTGGTTTTTCTTAAATAGCGAGAAAACGGCGGCGCGCAGCGCCGCCAAATTTTGGGTACCTTACCGGACATCAATTTGACACCTTCACACAAAATTTCAAGTCACAGGTCACCTCAGGTCAGGAGTTATTGAGGTCAAACTGAGGTCATGTTCGAGTAAAAATGAGCAAAAAACATGACATCTTGAAACGCTCACCAATTCTACAGTTCACAAGCAATTTTAAAGTTCTTTATGTGGTTGTGTAGAGAAAAAACGGCGCTACAAAACTGCTATCTCGGATTTTTGAAATTTTTGGATTTTGACCCCCAAAAATAAAAAAAAATGATTTTTTTAGAAAAACTCAAAAAATTTCCAAAATTTTTTCGAATTTCGAAAAAACCGGAATATATGTGATAGTCCCTGCGCTCTTCGATATACATACCAAATTTTAGATCGATACCTCTTTTTTTGGCCAAGTTATAGCGAAAAAACTGTTAGAAATTGATGACGTCAAATTTTTGAACTCAATTTTTAGCAATTCTAGACCTCGTAGCGCAAAACGGAGACCACCATTGAACTCCCCGTGACGAGCTGCATCGAATCGATACCCATTTTATGCAAAAATATCAACTTTGAAATTTGACCTAATTTGACCTGACCTTGACCTGACCTTGACCTGACCTTGACCAAAACGTGACCTAAGCTGGCCCTAATGTCTGTCTGACCCACATAATCGCATTTGTCATGTAAAATGGACCATAAAACATGTATCACACGACACTTTCATATTGTGACCCCCCAGTGACCTGACCTCTGTGACCTGACCTGGTATCAGTGACCTCAAATAGCAAAATATGTGTTTGAAGAACATTTCCCCATCGATGATTTTCAATGAAATGCATTTTACACGATTTTACAACGCATTTCTTGAAATGCCTGTAAACGGTGAAAATTCGACCTTTGACCTGACCTGTGACGTCATCGGTTTGACTGAGGTCAATGAAATTGGGTCACAAGGTAGTTCCCTGTTGGGGCTATCCAACACCGTTTACCGCTTGTCGCTATGTTGCGTGGTTCTCGAGATCTGAGGGGGGGCAAAATGCCCCCCCCCCCATCAGACCGCGTTGCTCGGCAGACCCCATCTGGGCGCGGGTTAACAAAGTTGTTCTAGCCAATTCATGAATTCTCTTAAATGAGTTCATTGTATTGGTAGATGATCTCTAGCATCATTGACTCGAGTGCTAAGGTTTGAAAGCTATTCCAAGGTATCAGTTGGCAGAATGCCACCTTTATATAGAGATAGTGTCTCCCCGGACCTTGTAACTGGATGAGTCATGAAAAGTCAAACTTCTTCATTCTCACACATATTGCATAAAAGTTTCTACAATAACATATGCCTCAGTCCAGTCTTCATATCTTATGGCTGCTCATAGTCAAACTACACAAAATTTCATGGTCAGCATTAGGCAGTAGGCACCTGTGTGAGTCCTTGGAGGGGCTGTCTGGACGCACTGCCCCTTTTTTGATCGCCAGGAAGCCATGCGTCGCCCATATTTTTCTCAGAATCGGATGGCCAGGCTGGCTGTTTCCTTTGATTGGCTCACCGTTGAGCTAACAAGCTCAGTCACCTACGTTATCAATGCATCTAGAAAGCCTTCTGCGCAAAAGGGAAAAGTTCGGCTGCAAAAGGGATTTTGTACCTCTTTGCTGCACTAAATGTTCATGTCTTTATGACCTGATACAAATGCCGATGCCCTGCTGACTAATGGCTAACGGCTTTATCAGCGATGAACCGATTCACTCATGCTACATGCTTTGCAGAATGTTGTTAATTTTGCTTCAACCCCAAGCAGTGTAAGCGAGCAGGGGTTTTGTGTATCAACGCAGTTTGACCTAATAGGCAGGTATCTCTCGTTCTCCCAGTACTCTCTTATTCTCCCTTCGGGAGACTGAACGAAAGCCTGCATAACAAAAATCCGTCTAATTACTAAGTGGAAGTGCAAAGAGTTTGAACTTGTAGCATGGACTTTGAATAATAACTTGCTTTATTAACTTAAAAAGAAAAGCAGCAGAAGCCAATTTTACACCGTTAAATCGAAAGGATAAGGTATGGGCGCCGGAACCAGGCCCATGTCACTGATTTACACGTTTGGCGTTTGATTACTCGTTGAACGTAACGCTTACGCACTTACTCGTAAGTCTGCTTGTCAGAACCAGCATAAGAGATTGTAGTTAGCTGCCCTATCAAGGCGCCCATTACCACCGCTCCCCTCCCGCCCTTCGCTAGGTATTGGAAGACCCCGAGCAGTACCCCATCAGCCTCAAATTCGGCTGGCCGAAACTCTCCACCAACGAGAAGATTTTTCTGGCCAGCATGTTCTACCCGCTGTTCGCCATCGCCAGCCAGCTGAGCCCGGAGCCGCGCAGCTCTGGTATCCAGGTCCTGGAGACGGCCTCCTACCAGCTACACTGCTTCCAGACCCTGACCGGAGTGAAGTTCCTGGCCGTGGTCGATCCGCGCCAGACGGGCGTGGAGGCGCTCCTCCGCAGACTGCACGAGCTCTACGCGGACTTTGCGCTCAAGAATCCGTTCTACTCGCTCGAGATGCCGATTCGATGCGAGCTGTTTGACACTCACGTGCGTAGTGCGCTCGAGTCGGCCGAAAAACTTGGCGTGGCGAATGTGTGATGAAAGTGACGAGAGACGCGTGAGATGAGGGATGACAAATGGACATGAGGGGGATTCGTGAAGTGTTGAGCGCGTGAGAGTCTTATGCGCCATGATAGTGACATTTGTGCGAAATGTGAGATAGCGTCTGACAGCTATGGGATGTAACTGTCGTGCGGCTCCTGAGAGTGTCGTGCGGCGCCTGAGAGAGTACGATTTTGAAGCTACGTTAGTTAGGTGAAGAAAATCATATATTGCTGAGTGTGTGTGCGCACTGATATTCCATTTATTGCTTGTCACAGCGTGACTGTTGAGAACTGAATGCCCGTGCTGACCTGACGCTGCCCTCTGCTCTCCCTCACGCCCCCACACACTGCTAACGTGTCCAGCTGTCCACTGGGTGCCTCTGTCCTGTCTGACGCTGTCTGTCTGCTCTGTCAGCGGCTGCGTGTGCGCAGTTCGCGTATTTGTGACCCCGCACCCGCGTCTCTGCCACCCGTGTCCTATGCTAATGGTGTCCCGCGGACGACCAACCGACGCACTGTGGTCTTGTGTTTGTGTGTCGGTTTTTGTGTTCTGAATAAAGCTCAGATGGCCTTTCGGAGAACTCCCTTCTACCCATCGTGATGTTTTGCGTGCATGCTGGCCTCTGGGGTACAAAGGGCAACTGATTTTCTCGTTGGGTGCTGCTGTATGTTTCTTCGGTACCGCGTTTGAAATATCGCCATTATTATTTAACCTGTTTGTGCAGTGAATGCGCTTCTTACTCGTTAAATCCCCCGTTGTGTTTCATTTAAGATCGATGACCTGGGACCCGTATTTAGTCAGGGGAAGGAGGCCCAATTTTAGGCCGAATAACGCAAAATTGGGTAGAGCTTAGCAAAGGGTGGTTTCTGGGACAAAAATGACCGCTGAACCCGAATCTGACCGGTGCGCACCTCTAACTAATGTTGCACCACTTCCAGAGCACGTGCAACTGCGTGGTTCATCTTTTTTGGAGAATGGTACCTTTTTCATGAATTGCAGTGTACCGTCGTTGATATTTGAGATACTGTTTGGAGATTTTGTCCCTGTGCTAAAAACACATGGCGTAATTGAAAGCTTAAGTTTTGCAATGTTCGGGCAGCCGATGACGTCACCGTGACGTCATTTACCGATAAATGAGTTGAAAAAGTCGTTTTGTCCGTAAAGCATTTACCTTTATTCCCGTCGTATGCAAATCAGAGAGGGGAAAATAATCAAACATGATCTTTGAACATTTCTGAGTCGGATCATGTTAAAATCGTTTTTGCAGAGGTACATGTGAGTCACGTTGAGAACGAGACAGTTAAAGTCACCACCTGACAGATTTGGTCAAACTGGATGAAGTAGTACAGCAAATTGATAAATCACGTGAAACAGGATATTTTTATATCATTTTTAGCGTGTTCTGGCGCTGCGACGGCATTTAAATCAAAATGCTGTTGGCGTTGAACTGACTAAATATCGTTCCTTTGGTCTTATTTATAGTTCAAATTGTATAATTTTTTATTTCTTTCAAGTAAATATCCATTCCTATGAATAACGGAAAGTCAGCGTGGGTTCAGCTTATAGTCGTTACGCGCGTTTGGAAAGCGATAAAAAATGATCCAGAATTGTGCTTGTCATGAAGACTGGTGGAAAAAAATAAACAGCTGTGGTTTATCAAAAAGGACAAAAATCACCTTTGTAAGAAAGTGAAATATCTTGGATATTTGAGGAAAACAATCTAAGATCGAAGCGAGACCACACGATAGACGATGCAGGAACAAAACGGTACCTACAAAAATGATCGGCAACCGAATGCCTCCTCGTAAACCTGTTTTGTGTTAAGTGCATTTTCTTGGAACTACATTGCAAGTGAAAATTCATTTGTATCAAAGGAGCATGGATTCGTGATTGCCCTATAAAGTTGAAGCTTGGTGACACCTTCAACATGCATGCGGCTCGACACTATCAGATGCTCTTGGAACACACATGGAACCGTTTTAGACAAAGCTGCAGAATGATGATGAAGGCACGACGAGCTGAATATGGAGCTCTCCCGACTCGCCCGTCTGAGTCCAAAAGAGATTGAATAGTACCAGCATGCGGCTGCTGGAGAAGGGAGAGCCGGAGCTGGCAGGCCGGGAGTATGGACGCCTGACGCGATTCCCTCCGGACAATCCCGCTTGGAAGCTTATTGATAAGACACCGCCACCTAGACTGCAGTACAGAGCCCACCTCCATTGGATGCGTAAGAAACAGAAAGCCCAGGAGGTGGGAGTGCCGGCGCCGTCGCCGCCAGATGAGGACGTTGCTGGCCTCCAGCATCGACCCTGTTTCCGTCGAGTGGGGAAGTGGGTGTGCGAGGAAGCTGGACTGGATGGAGTGCCCGTAGCCCCACTAACACTGCACCAAGGAGAATCGCCGTGGAAGCAGTAGGTACAACACCAACGCCCACTTCGGCTTGAAGCTTCCGAAACCTACCAAGAGGACTGACCCACCAGAATTGCGGAAGGCTGCAACCCTGGAGGCCCTGGCCGCTTACCCAAATCCAGACCTCACAATCTGGTCTGATGGCTCTACCCTAGACGGTACCAAGAAAGGCGGCGGAGGAGCCCTCCTCGAACTGCACCGTGAGGGGCACAAGATCGAATGTACCGCACCGGCAGAAGTCGTATGCAGCAGCATGCAGGCGGAGCTGGCGGCGATGGCGGAGGCGTTAAAATGTTTCCTGGGCCACTGCCGGAGCCATCCCTCGCTGCAATTCGGTCTGTCCTGCTCTGCTCGGACTCCCTGTCCGGCCTCCAACTGCTCAGCCGAGGCCCGACAGCGCAGGAATCGGCCCTGACACAGGGCATCTGGGCTCTCTCTCCTGCACTCTGCCGCGGCCGGGGGCAGAGTTATTAGTCTCACAGTGGATCCCGGGCCACGCAGGGGTCGAGGGTAATGAAGAAGCGGACCGCCTAGCAAGCATCGCGGCGACATCAGGCGACCAGCGTCGGATCCCAGTTGACCTGGCCTGTGCGCGCATCGCTATCAGACACTAAACCGGCCTGCTCACCCTCGATCGCTCCAAGCACCACCCACATCTGGAGAACACCCCTGGCCACGACGACCTCGACCGATGGGGACAGACCAGTGACCACTGTCTCGCAGACCGCAGCGGCTGCACACCCCTGGTCCGGGCCACACTCTTCAGGATTGGCCTGGCCACCAGCTCTCTCTGCGGACAGTGCGGCGAAGAGGACACGGTCGCGCACGTGCTATGCGAGTGCCCGGCCGCGCAAGAACGCGAACCCGGCTCTGGGGGCCGCTCCCCACCATCTAGGATGTGCTCTCGAGGCCGGCTAAATACGTCACGGAGTTCCTCGACCGAGTACCTGTGGACCAGCCCCGGTCTGCCACGCCCTAGGGCACGGCCGGCATGAGTGCGCGGAAGAAGAAGGGAGAGCCGGCTGACGCATCGGAACAGGCGCATCTATCCTGCGTCGAGAACGACCAGTCGCTCTGCTCCGTCGACCTGGCCGGCGACTTCACGTACCGGCTGGTTGGCGTCGTACAACTTAACGGCGGTGCCAACACTCGGGATACCACCTATGTGCGTATGCCGTGTACTGTACATAATGGGACAGAACATATTGTATCATTACGACGAGACGCGTCCGCTGGATGGACGAGACAGACGTCCTGGGCGAAGGCCATCGCCCAGGGTGCACACAGTCACCGTGCCGGCGGCCGGCAGCCGAACGCCTCCTGATAGTAGCCGTGCATAGTGTTCGCCTGTGCGTGTGTGTATATATTTACCAATAAATACAACCAACCAGAATCAAATTCTCTCCGGTTAGTGGTTACGTGTTCTTCAATGCTCGGGTATGTGATGTCTAAGAACATGAATAACCACAAGACATTGATAAGACCTTGGGACATAACACACGTGAAACCCTGTGACGAAATTTACGCCCACCTTATTAGGTACGTATGCCAACGTAATAAACTAAAACTACGCCTGTTACGCACACATCCAATTCAAAAGTCTCGCAAGCATACTGCATGCCTTACGAATGCTTTGCGGCGCCAATACATATATGAACGACTTCTATACTTACCTTTGAATTTTGTCATATGACGTCCTGAAAACGTCATCTGCAATTTTTTCAGCTGTAGCTTTTGATCAAACCACGTAAGAACAATGAAACCATTTTCCATACGATTATCTTGATAATCCAAAGCGATTGGTAAACTACATGACCATTTCCAGTCAGGTCATAACCTTCAGTAGCGTGATAATTGAACTGAGGCCTCTTGCACCAAAATCCTCTTGCACCAATGCTTGGATTATTTTGCATCGTATACCCAGTCCAAGTCTCAAATGTAACAATTTGCATGCACAATTTTGCAAGCACATGTAGGATTATGTATTGGGCTATTGCAAACAAATTTACCACCGTTAGATTAGCTTATTCTGAAACCGGTTTTTCGATTTTACCTAGCTAGGTAGTTTGGTGCAAGAGGCCTCTGAGCTCATGAACTGCGGTAAAATATAATATTAACTAATCGAAGCCAATTTGCATACTATTCGATGCGTCTCGGTGAGAGAATCACAACGATGGTAAAATGGACGACATGCAAGCATTGTATCAAAAGTTATTGTACAAAAACTATTTGGGGTAAAAACGCACACTCCGCGGATCTCGCTCCCTCTAGGCCAAAATGGCACCTCCATCCAGACGATTTTTACTTTTTGCAACGGGGAGATATTTTCTGAGCATGCTCAATGCATTTTAAACCCGCCAATGAGCGTATCCTGTGAATAAAGTTAAATGTTTTGTTGTCACACCTCATTTTCCCGTCAGTTTACGAATAAATGACGTCACAGTGACGTCACAGATTGTGTGCGATATGCGTTAACCAGAATTTTCATTAATGCAATGAATTTTGACTATAATATTAAAGTTTTGAAATACATCACAACTACACGACTTATTTTATTTTAAAATATATAAAAAGGGTACCATTCTTCAAAAAAGAAGAACCACGCAGTTGCACGTGCTCTGGAAGTGGTGCAACATTAGTTAGAGGTGCGCACCGGTCGGATTCGGGTTCAGCGGTCATTTTTGTCCCAGAAACCACCCTTTGCTAAGCTCTACCCAATTTTGCGTTATTCGGCCCAAAATTGGGCCTCCTTCCCCTGACTATATTTGGTGACTTGCCGTTTGACGTTCTCGGAACGCCTGCTCACAGTTTATTTTGTGTTAGAAGCTGGATGGTCCGTGAGCTATAAGGCGCACGTCATTCGTGCATTATCATTGTGAGATATTCCATAGAGTTTTTCGTTGTGCTTCTTTGTCCAATCTCTATAAGGCATCAGTGTGTTGGGTTCTTACGATAAACTGTTAGGTCGCTGCGCACTTTTTCGCTGTCTTATGGCTACAAGTGGGGTGCTGGTCACCGCGCCGGTGCACTCATTCCTTTCAATGTTTATGTCGCCAGCTCCGTAAAATGCGAACGGAAACGTTTTGGTGAGACGTCGGGAACACTTTGATGTTCCTGTGATTATGGGATGGTCTTTGTTTCTGTTTGAGCGCGTGCTATCGCCGCGAATTGTGTATTTTTATTCTGTAATTTGTATAGAGTCAGTTGCAGTAAATAAATGCATTCACATTGTGCTAAGGTGCGTCTTTCGACCAATTAAATGTTTGCTTGCCGTTTCCCCGGATAGGTATGGAAGGTAACGATAATTTTTTACCGTTATAATAGTAAGTACCGACTGTTTAATTCGTGTGCCGTTTTAGGTTAACATTTATTCAAGCCTGTGGACACTGTTATATTATATTCAGATCAAAATCATCAAGGGCATTGGGTTCATATGCGTACCGTGAAAGCGAACGGCTGCAATGGTCCACATTTAGGTACTGGTGAAGTTGCGCCGGATTCCTGCGATAACTGACAGGTCCGTCGAAACAGCGACTCTGAGCACTTCTACATTGATGACATGCAGATGCGGTTCAACGAAAGTCGAAATATCCCCGGAAGAAAGAGAGAGAAAGCGAGATTCAATGCTTTCAGCCTAGATTTCAGATCTTATACCGTGTGTAAACGTCAATCAAGAGAACTGTCGCGTATGCTCTAAGTTTCAGCGCTGCCACGAGTGGCGACTTTCCTAGCTTGTGAAGCTACTCAGTGGGATGCTAACACGAGAGATGTGTGTGATATCGTCGCCTTGAAGTTCGGATGAGAGGCTGACTGCAGGCACCGTACGCTATTGAAAGGTGTCTGGTACGTGACCTGGGTGTGAGTGGGTTGCCGTTTGCGTCAGCATTCTGCACGTAATTGGTCGTGGAAGTGAGATTCACTGACCGCATTCGAGGTCATGTGTCTTCATGGCAAGGAATAGGGCTGAGTTATGTTCGCGTAGTTGTTGAGCTGATGAGATGCGATCGCGCTCGCACAACACAGCCGTCGGTCGCTGAATCTACGTAGCGTTGCTGGCAATGTCTAGCACTGATGCAATGCCTCGCTCCGCGTCATTTCTGCGTTTCATGTCAACATCAAGATTAGTAAAGCCGGAATCAGTCATTACGTGTTAACGTATCTGGCCGGACGCCGGGCTTAGAGTCAGGACCGATAGGGTTGATGTGTCTGAACTCGCGTCTATCGGGTTTATATGGCTGTTTCGGCCGTTCGTCGAGAACCATGTCTTAAAAAGACGATTTGTTACCCTCAAGTTGGCGTGATTCGGTCACATGACACGCAGTCACCCATGGGATCATAGTTAGGATCCGGCGTCGAGCTCTTTTGAGACAAGATGTGTAGATATATTTCACCGCGTCGGGAGAGGAAATATGACACCCTGTCATTAGTAGCGCTTCTTCAACCCTCGCCGCGACTCCCGCTCTGTCATCACCCCACGGTCAGGTGACCCAACCCTTCCGTGACGACAATGACCCATCCTGGGCGCCCTCCAACCGCGAGCTGATGCCCCCGGACCTCACGGGTCGGTCATCGCCACCCCGCCGAGCCGGGACGACTGGGACACCACCCGCGGGCGGCGCCATTCGTCGGCTATTTCCGTGCCCACCTCCCGGCTAGCCGCAGTGATAAAACGAACCACCGCCTCTGCTGGACGTTGAGAGGTGCAGGCCAGTCTGAGGGCAGTCTGAGAGCGGTCTGGGAGCTCCCCCGCCGCCCCGCAGCACCGCCCGGCCGGCCGCCAGCCCGTCAGCTGACTGCAGGGTGCCTGTCCACGGACCCGGGCACCGCCCCGGGGGCAGAGCCGAGCGTGCCAGTGGGGAGAGCTGTGCTGTCCTGAGGAGCGCAGTGTGGAGGAGAGCCACCCTTGGGCCCTTGAGGACTGAACCGGACTGTGATTGTTCTGTTTGTGATACAGTCAGGATAGACGGAAATCCGTCTGCCCATGGCGAAGTCTCGTGACGATAACAATCGTAAACGGTTTTTACCTTGAGCTGGTCTTTCGTAACTCGAAGTTCTTCGCGATATTCAGAAGAAACAGGGATTACCCGGTCATAAAGTGAGCTGACAACATTTGATAATCGTCATAATTCGGTGATTATTTGATACTCAGCAAGTGATAGCTTGAACCTAGCTCAGTGATACGGTAGTTGCGTAAAGGCTTGTGATATTCGATCCTTTAAATCGCGCGTCATTTAAACGGTCTACGGGATTGACAAGTGTCTTTGAAAGCTTGTGAGGCAGCATTGGCATTGATTGAGCTGTGAACATTTCCTGTGATTTCAGTCCGGGTGATAATCGCTGTGTTTGGCCTTATACATCCTGACGTGCGCTCTTTGAAGTTCGTTTAGGAAACTGCACTTTCGCACCTTCGTAGTAGTTTGTGATCGCCTTTTACATAGCAATAAGCTTCAACAAAACCCGTCGCGTACGAACGAAAGGCGGATCGCACTTAACGCTGCCCGCACACTATGAACTGCGACTGGGGCGAGTCTGACAGCTCCCTGGCGCTGTCGGACGCCGGTGAGGAGGAGTTGTTCTCCTCCGCATCCTCCTCGTCTGAGGGATCGTACGTGTCGGCGCCGCGCGCTCCAGAGGCCGCCCTGAAGGCCGCCGCCGGCACCATGGAGGAGGTGCAGGAGCCCGAGATTGTGCCCGAGGTGCACCACTACCCGATCGTGTCGCAGCGGCACACTTGGTGTGTCGACGAGGAACACCTGCACTACCAGGCGTCCTACCAGCATCAGATCGTGCACGGCTTCAGCTCGACGTTCATCAAGGCCTACAGATGCTTCGGACGCTCGCGCGGCCGCCGGCTCACCATTCTCGAGGTGAGGAACATGCTGGGGGTGGGGCAGGGTTGCATGGGAAAAGTCAGCTCAACTCATCGTTTTCTTTTACTTATTTTTTTACACACTGGTGCAACTGCATGGATAGTGAAACTAGCTGTATGCATTTGGACCGTAGTAGAAACCTCGAAACGTTTATCATCTCGTATTTATCACGCATACCTTATCTACAGGAGCGTCTACAACTTCAGTGAGCGTTCTGATGCCACGTCAATTCGATTATGCTTGTTAGTGTTAACCATATGCCTCCGAAACTTATTACTGGGTTTGAACCTCGTTGGGTGTCCAGATTATAATCTGGAAGACTATGTGTACCTATTACCCAGACGTTTAAAAGTCGTGTAACGCTCCCGCGCCGATTACTAACAAATCAGTTACACGGTCGCATCAAACCCTTCGGCCTTCACTTATTCAGGTGCTCTAAAAAGTAGATGATTACACATTTTGGACGAGTTTTATTGCAGAAAGAGGGGATGTCGAAAGAAGACTCAGTACAATTCGCGTCTGATTATATATCTTTATTGCGGATCAGAAGTTAAACAATGAAAATTCTGAAAGCGACGTAATCTTATCGGTACCCACAGGCCGTCGTAACATAGCTTCCCTGAAGTGTCATTTATTATCCCTGTGACTGTATCGCATACGTGCTGATCGCTAACGCCATCGTGGACATAGGGAGGCGCTACAAAAGGTCGGTGATTCAGTGCATATTTCCCAACAATTGGCTATCGCCGAGCCTACGAATTGCCGGTGCGGTTACGCGGCTCGAACCCAACCGGCTAAGGCAGCACAAATCAACAGCAAAAAGTGTCAACAAATGTCAACGAAACGAATCATCATTCGATTGCACATCTCCGATTTGCAGGAATGCACGTTTCATTTACCTCAGGCGCTCTCATTTTCTGGCGTTCTGACGTCTACGAGCTAACACGCGCCTGACGACTAGAGGCGTGCATCCGGTCTCGCTACCAGGACTGCGACGTTGCAACACCCGCCATCCACTGGTGTTGACGTCACTAACACGCCCCAAACATGTCCCAGATTCCCGAGCACAGACACACACGTCCCACCCGCATGTCCGCTGCGGCCGGCGCGCGCCTACGGCCGCCAGGGAGGAGGAGCGCCCGCGCCCCGCACCCTCCCCGTCGGCCGGCCGCGGCTGCGCCCCAGCCTACCATCCGGGCGTGTTCTTGTTCCACCGGCAGAGCGGGATCGAGTTTTGGGCGTAGTTCTTGGGCAGGTCGAAGCCGACCTCCTTGGCGGCCATGTAGACGGCGCCCAGCGCCAGCGAGCCGGTCAGTTGGAGGAGGGTGAACGCCGAGAGGTGGGTGGACACCTGCTGCACGAACCCCACCTGCATCAGGTCCCAGGACTTGAACACGGCGCCGACAGCGACCACGCTGAGACCGCCGGGCTCGCGGCGCAGCTCCTCCGAGACATTCGGCAGCAGCGCCACCACGAACCGTCCCAGCCAGCGGCCCGCCTCTGCAAACAGGTCGCGGCAGAAGAGGTCGCCCTCGTGTGCGGCTGCCGCCAGGTGCTGGCACAGACCCGCAAACTGCGCCTTGCTGAAGTTGGTGTAGGCAAAGTCGAGCATGCCGAAGCGGTCGGTGATGCCGAAGTAGCGTTTGATGCACTCGCGCGCCTTGGCAGTGCTGTGGACCGGCGTGCGCAGGTTGTCGTCCTCGTCAAAGACCCATTTGACGGCCTGCTGCGAGATCCACCAGGCGCTGGCCTCGTCTCCGAGCATGTAGGACCAGCCGCCGCAGCGGTGCACCGAGCCGTCAGGGTTCAGCAGCAGGCTGTTGGAGCCCGTCCCCGAGATCAGACAGATGCCGCCGTGCGGGAACGCGGTGACGATGGCGCCCACAGAGTCGCTGCACACCACCACTCTCTCGGCCATGCCCGGGTAGCGCGACATCAGCATCTGCTTCAGCTTGGCGTTGGTCTCCTCGGCCTCGCAGCCGCTTGAGCTGACGCCCAGCGCCCGCAGCTTGGTGTTGGTCGGCAGGCCGGCGGCCGTCAGTGCCTCGGCGACGAGCGCGTGGAACCGCTCGACGGTGGCGTCCATACCCTCCAGGTAGAGGTTGGTGCCCGGCCCCGAGCCGGTCCCCATGATACGACCGTCCCCATTGATGATTTTGGCGAACGAGTGCCCGCCGCCGCCCTCGATTCCGCCGAAGAACGCCGGCGCCATGGTGTATGAGCGGGGTAGGTGTGTTGGGCTCGGGTGACCTTGGCGGACAGGTCGCTCACAGCTGTGGGCACTGCTGATACCTGGGAGAGGACGGAAAAGTAGCTGCTCCCGCCGAGACTGGAGGTGTGTCGTCGACTTTCACCCCAGCGTTGTTCGGAGCTGTCTCCTTTCTGTCGATACGCTCACCAAGCCGGCGATTCCAGTTGACTGCTCCCTGGTTTGAAGCCGAGTCTTGTTCGGTTAGACTTCTCAGTAAAAAGAGATTTCGACAAAGTCCCACAGACACACTCACAGTCACGCAACTGAACACTCAGTTCTCTCCACTGGGTCGCCTTGGCCAGCCACTTGGCGCCGTACGCAGCAACTGGCACGTGCGCGTGAGCGGTCCGACCGTACGGGACACGACGACCGCCGGCGTGTCGGTCGGAGTGCGACTGGCGCGTGCGCCGTGTCCGGGGGCGAGCGGGCGAGTGACGGCGCGCCGCCCGGCCGGAGTGTCCGCCTCCCACCCGCCCTCCGCCGCCCGCCTCCGCACGCCCTCCGCCGCCCGCCACCGCCCGTTCCACTTTCCCGGCGACCTATCGGGCCGCTCATCACCCGATCGCGTCGCGTCGCGAGCGGGGCGGCACCGCGCCGGCCGTCAGATCGGTGTGACTGTGCGCACCAGCGGCGTTCATGGCGCGTGACCGCCGCCGGGTCGGGTCACATTCACTGAGCCCTCGGAGAGGTTTTTCACCCGGCCGTCGAAAGCCGGCGTGCTTGGTCGACCGTTATCGGTTTAGTATCACCACTGTGGTTTCTGGCTCCGGTCTGCTTAGAACTTGCCGCAACGAAACGGAAGCCTGGTTAGTTCGTTTGCATCTCTAATCGTTCCATGGCACGTCGGAAACCGGTTTTGGCATGCAGCCAGAGGCATCCAATCGTGTGGAGAAAGAAACTTTCGCGTCTGGGTAGTTACACACCCGGTAGTGTAACGCTTGCCGACGTTTTCCCATGTGCTCTAAGCTTTGAAATCGCTCTCAATGGCGCGGTGGGGCCAGTCTATTGAGAGAGCACCTGCCCGGTGCGGGGATTTGGTGATACCATCTGGAACTCGGTTGCTGTCCTTCAATGTCAAAATTGCCAACCTCTGGTTTCCCAGATATTGATTGTGTCAATGTGTCACCGGGAGAGCTTTGCTATCCCGTTTCCAACCTATAACCTATAGTTAATAGGTGCTGTATGTTACATGCGTTTCATTGCAAGCTTGCGCTCATTCTCAAATCTCAAAAGCAGAAATGGGCACGGATCCCAGACGACCAAACACGAAAATCAAGATGGCCACTAGATAAGTGGTCTTTAAGCATGGAATTATGGTGGAAAACATGGCTAATAGATGCCTCTCAACGAACAAACTATTTTGCATTCCCTCAGAGTTCACAGTTTTGAGAAAATCCCTCAAGATCCATCTCGGATCCATGGCCACGAATCATGGATCCGAGATGGATCTTGAGGGATTTTCTCAGAACTGGTAACCCTGAAGGAATGCAAAATAGTTGGTTCATTGAGAGGCTTCTATGAGCCATGTTTTCCACCATAATTTCATGCTTGAAGACCGTCAATCAAATGGCCATCTCGATTTCCGTGATTGGTTGTCTGGGATCCGTGCACATGTCTGCTCAAAAGCAAACGCATTTAAACGGCTCACGAACCACTTGGGTCGAAGCGTTTCCGATGATATTTCAGTTATACACTAGCAAGTTTTAATCCGAAGAGAGACACACCGAATAGCTGAATAAAAAAAAACTATTTTATGTTGGCTAAACTGATGCTTGCTTGAAGATGAAACCGTTTAATATTCAACGTTTAATTAGCGTCAATGCTAACTTTAAAGTAAAAATCGCTTCGCAACAGGACACAGATAAATTTTCGCTTTGTCATTTACAATGTTAGGTATTTTGACAAATCATTCACAATATAAAATTTAAACATACCATACAGTGGTAACGAAAAACTCAGTAGGCTTCCCTGTCGGTAACGAGCTTGCCTGTCCTCTATTTTAGCTTATTTGTTCAGTGTCATTTGGAAGGTGCCAGAAGTGACCCACCCCATGGAACCTGATAAGTCCTCATGTTTGAAGACGGTTGTCTGAATTCGAGATAAAATAAACGGTGAAGCCACAGCGGCCGAGACAGCTGTGTGATCATATACACTCCTGTCCACTCTGCGCGCGGTATCTTTAGATCGTGTTTCACAAGCGGGTCGCTGGAACGTCTTCTGTTTAATTTATCCACTTGCTTGATGTAGGGCAATTGCGTGCTGGACTTTGTAACTGACGCTCTGGGCTGGCCGGATTTGCACTCGCTGAGAATGGTGCAGGTCGTTGAACCTCTTCTGTCGACGACCGCTGGCTGCGGCTTTGGCCACCGATTGCTTATGTCTGGTCTCTGGAAGCACGTGGAATGCGTGCAGTGCAAATATTAACTCAACCCATGCGGATGGGCCTGGGCGGTCTGGTTGCTGAAGCTTGCGCAAGTTGCTGCTCCAATTTCAACTTGAATCCGTTGCCCAATGCTCGTTCATGGCAAATGTTATGATTGCGATAGCAGGCGCTTCTGAGGTCACGCATTGAAGGTAACTTATCGAAAAGTTTGCTTCATCTGTATGCCCTGTTTGTCCTGTCCTGCGGCTGAACACCATGTGATATCGATTGAATTTGGATAATGCGCTCAGCCCAGTATAATTAGCCTGATACTATTTTAAAAAGACCTTGTGCGCAGCATTTAAAAGGACGGAGACGTTTATGTGGTTTGGGCCGATACACTGCTTCGTTGCTAACGAAATAATATAAAAGCCGTTTTCACGACGTCAATCTGGTACACATTTGGTGCACATCTGGTGCAGATTAGGTGCAGAATTGGTCAAATTAGGTTCAGTGTGTGTTCAGTAGTGCAACCCTAGCTATCTGCTAGGGTTGCACTAATTGCTTATATGCCTGCTTTGTCATATTATCAGAGAGTATCATAGATTAAAACACTGAAATTGTTAGGTGTGCTTGCAAAAGATGACTGATGTCATCACTGTCAACCGTGGCAGTCGTATGGCTACCCATCTACGCTGGAGTACGAAAAACATCATCTAACACTGAAATTGATTCATAAAATAAAGATATTTGCTGTAAAAGAGATAAGGTGCAGATTTGGTCAAATTAGGTGCACTCGCCGGATAGCCCGTCGTGAAAACGACTAATTTGTATCTATGCAGTTGTGCATTTACAAACAATTCAATTCGGCATTTATCACAAAACCTTACAACACGAGACGCAAAATACCTTTTCATTCTATCGCAGACGGTCGTGATTTTTATTATTAATATACCATCTTTTACAGTTAATGTGCAGTGCACACACTGTCTACTAATAAAGCGACACACGTATTAAATTAATTAATCACGCAGTAAACGTTTTACGTTCTATGTTTCCAAATACTCTTGTAGCATTGCTTACACTAGACAATATGCTTGCATTCAAATGTTTCTTGTTTTTCAATACCTAACTCATTAATTGATTCATTCAAGTATTTATCCATTTGTTCATTCGTTAATCCTTCATCCGCATTTGTTTAGCTTATGATTCAGTTGTACACAGGGTAACTTTTAAAGGGGGGAAAAGGGGAATTTCCCCCCTTCGAAAATTCCGCTCCCCCTTTCAAATTGTGCGTGAACGGCTAGGGAGGGAAGGGGGAATTTCCCCCTTTCAAATTTATTTTTGAGCCCATTTTCAATCAATTCGCTACTCAGATTCTATAATCATCGTTGATCAGACTCTAGTCATTAATCAATGTTGCTGGCGCTTAGATAATTTTCAATTTGAGGTTCCATCCAACCATTTTACGTTCCGTGCAGCGGGAACTCCAGATTTGACCCGACACCGATCGGATGGTCGGTGGGACCGTCTCTTGTCTTGTCTCTTCCGTCTCTTCGCAATCACTGACATATCGCTAGTCTACAGGCGTTGGCGTAGAAACCGACGGGGGACGGGGGTCATGACCTCTCCGAACCAAGGGTCTTCCTTCGAACCAGGGTCCTTCAATCGGTCTTGGCCTAGCAAAAATAGTCACGTGTTAACCCGCGCCCCGTTAGGCTCTGCCGAGCAACGCGCCCTGTTGGGGGGGGGCATTTTGGCCCCCCTAAGATCTCGAGAACCACGCAACCTAGCGACAAGCGGCAAACGGTGTTGGATAGCCCTATCAGGGAACTACCTTGTGACCCAATTTTATTGACCTAGATCAAACCGATGACGTCACAGGTCAGGTCAAAGGTCCAATTTTCACCGTTTACAGGCATTTCAAGAAATGCGTTGTAAAATCGAGTAAAATGCATTTCATTGAAAATCATCGATGGGGAAATGTTCTTCAAACACATATTTTGCTATTTGAGGTCACTGATACCAGGTCAGGTCACAAAGGTCAGGTCACTGGGGTGTCACAACATGGAAGTGTCGTGTGATACATGTTTTATGGTCCATTTTACATGACAAATGCGATTATGTGGGTCAGGCAGCCTTTGGGGCCAGCTTAGGTCACGTTTTGGTCAAGATCAGGTCAAGGTCAGGTCAAATTAGGTCAAATTTCAAAGTTAATATTTTTGCATAAAATGGGTATTGAATCGATGCAGCTCGTCACGGGGAGTTCAATGATGGTCTTTGTTTTGCCGTACGTGATCTAGAATCACTAAAAATTGAGTTCAAAAATTTGACGTCATTATTTTTTAACAGTTTTTTTCGCTATAACTTAGCCAAAAAACGAGATATCGATCTGAAATTTGGTATGTATATAGAAGAGCGCAGGGACTATCACAAATATTCCGTTTTTTCGGAATACGGATTTTTTTTGATTTTTTTAGTTTTTCTAAAAAAAAATCAATTTTTTTGATTTGTTTTGGGTCAAAAACCCAAAATTTTGAAAATCCGAGATAGCAGTTTTGTAGCGCCGCTTTTTGTCTACTAGACCATATAAAGAACTTTGAAATTGCTTGATAACTGTAGATTTGGTGAGCGTTTCAAGATTGCATGTTTTTCGCTCATTTTTGCTCGAACATGACCTCAGTTTGACCTCAATAACTCCTGACCTAAGGTGACCTAAGACTTGAAATTTGGTGTGAAGGTGTCACATTGATGCCCGGGAAGGTACTAAAAATTTGGCGGCGGCGCTGCGCGCCGCCGTTTTTTGCTATTCAGGAAAAACCACAGGGGGGGGGGGGGTAAAATGGCCCCCCAACGGGGCGAGGGTTAACGTCTCTCTATTTAGAAAGGCGCTACTTGATGTTTGGCCAGGTTAATAGGTTGATACTACTGATTGACATTTGCAAGGGCGCAGTCAAGTTGGGACCTCCACCGCCCCTTACCGCCAAGGCATAGATAGGTACCTACGTATATTTTTAGCTATTTTTTTTTTTGGCAACCTAACAATATAAAGTGGCCAGAATCCGGGCCAGAATCCGGGGATATAGTAGGATTTGGGGGTAGGTAAGGTTCTGCAGGCGCCATCCTAACAAAAACCTAATGGCATTTCAGATGCCCCCCTTTCAGATGCCCCTGGATCCGCCCGCTCTTGCCCCGAACTTTATTCCCCCTCTCGACTTTTCCTGTAAAAGTAACCCTGGTTGTACACTCTTCCGCCCAAGGTTACTTTTAAATGTTTGTAGTCATGTGCGAATGCGGTTATCTGATTATTTAATGAACGTGGTTTAATCCTTTAAGAATCACCCTTTAAACATAAGAATGTATTTAGGGCTTTGGAATCATCTATGGTTTTGCACCCAACTACCAAGCAATATAGGTATATACATACTTTGTTTTGACGTTTCCCCTTGTTAACGAAAATAGGTAGGTAAATATCGTGGCGAACTTCACAGAAACATCCATGACTGGGATGGATGGTCCAGCCGGGAAGATGAGCTGGTTTCCTGTAAGTGCGCTTATATGCCGGCCAAGTGGACTAGGCAGTTCCAGGGCAGTTCCCGCAGCTCGTGTTTCTGACGATGGTTGGCACAATGGCACAGTGAGCCGAGTGAGGTACCGCGAGACTGGGAAGTTCCCGCTGGCAATCTAGACAGAGAACGGCCACCTCTTGGACGTCACAACTTCGCAAAATGGTCATCTACTGATTTTGGGTCGGCAGTTATGAACAAAATGGAGGAGTTCTGGTTCTTGCTGAGAGGCTCTGGGATTTCCCGTCGGTGGTAAATAAGTTGGCGAAACTGCTCGTGACCGTTCCGCTTCTATAGTTT